ATTTTCTGCTCAATGTTCAGCTTTTATTTACAAGAAATCAAGTAATTAACTTAATGCAAAACGATTCTTCTAAATATCTTCAAACATCTCAGAATATTTAGATGATTTTTAAAAAAATCTGTAAAAATAGAAACATCAAGTTTAACCAGGAAGATAATCAGCATGCATCAACTTTTTACTTTTCAGGTTGTTTTCTGAAAATATTCACATTATTTACATGTTTGTCGTCAGCTGTGAGCTGGAAGGTTTCACCACTCATCTCTAGTTATTCACTGGATGCTGATTGCCTGGAAAAAAGTGAAGCCACTGTCCGCCATCTTGGTACTCCCCTCTCCCATGGAGATGTGCAGTAAAAATGCCTACATGTGTAACATTTGGCTACAAAAACCAGCAGTTTTCTGTCTGCAGGAAAACGTTCCACTGGTAATTTCCCAGTCAGAATAAGTCCATCTATAGCCGATGGATCCTATAGTTTAGTCTGTAGACTAACATTAGTCTGGCTATCTCAGACTGACTGGAAGACATTGACATTGGGTCTAATGTTAGAAAATAAAAAGAGGAAATAGAAAGTAATTCTCTGTGAAATCTCATCGTACTAATTCTTTATTATGCAGATGATGCTGTCGTTTTTGTAGAGTTTGTTGTTTTTCTCATTTGAAAAAGTTATTTGCTGAAATATAATGCAGGTTATATTGAATTGTAACAATGTCATAAATACATGTACATCATCAATTTAGCACTTTTAGCACATCTATATTATTATGTTCTATTAACACATTAATTTTATTACGATTGATTTGTATAATATGTTATATTACATGATTTATAGACTTTATAGACTTCATAATGATGCAATGTGATGGGCCTATTTATTTATTCTAAGTTAAACAGCCAGTCTGTGTCAAAGTGATGAATTTATCTTTATTTTGAAAGTCTTAAGTCGCCCTGAAAATGAGAACATCATGGTTGTTTGATGCTGTAGCGCACAGATTGTTTACATTGAGACCGGGAGTACCAATATGGTGGCCGGTGGCTTCACTTCAACCCCGTACTACCAACGGGCGATCAGCAATCTACTGAATAAATAGAGATCAGTTGGTTTCAAAGAAGCTTTTCAGAATAAAAGCCTCTCTTTTGTCTGTTCCATGACGTCTGCTGCGTTTGCAGCTGCAGCAGGAGCATCTGTGCCCTCCTGAAGCGTTAGTTACACCACCTGAGGGTCACTTCTGCTTCAAACTGAGAAAACTTAAGCAAAAGAGGCGAAAAGGGAAGTTTAGAAATAAGCTCTAAGGAGAAGGAGAAGCAGTCTGGATGGTTTTCTTCGCTTTTTGAGTTTAGGCAACATGTTTGCGACACTGTGGTGTGGCAGTGGTTTTCAGAAGTTCTCCTTGTTGAAGATGAACTTGACGTCGGCCTCGGAGTGAGAGAGGCACTGTTTCTCCAGAGACTTCCCGAGCTGAAGAGGACCACAGAGGAACACTCCCACTTTGGACCTGCAGGCACAGAACCAGAACATCAGAGTCTGATACTCAACTTCCAAGCTTCTGATTCAGAGCAGGGAGCCTCGCCTCGGGTGCTTCGATGCGATGTTGGTGAACTCGTTGTCCCAGTTTGGCTTTCCGTACAGAGTCTTCTGTTTGAGCCCGGTGATTGGGTCGTTCTCCGCCTCGTGGTGGACGCGGAAATGAGCCGCCTGATTGAGAATAATAATAATAATAAATGCTTTAGCAAAAGATTACAAAAAAAAATGCGTCCAAAGTTTTGAGCCATGGACAGATGGTCATAATGTTTTGCTCCGTCAGGCACCTCCGTGTCCTTCCAGCGGGTCAGGTAGATGTTGTAGCTGAGGAAGTCGGCCATGTCTTTGTCCGCCATCTGACGCTCCAGCGACTGCAGCAGGTCGGCGAACCATTCGAAGGCCTGAGTCTCAGGGCAGAGCCAGTAGAAGTAGATCTGCAACAGAAGCGCGTCAGCAGGTAAAGTTCTGAACCGTTTGTGCTACAGAACCCTGTGAGGTTCCGCGTTCCGACAAAATAAAAGGTTTCGATTGATAAAGTGAATTTAAACAGGGTGAATTTGGAAGCACTGTTTTTTTTGGGGGGAGGGGCTTAAAGCTTTGCCCCTCCCCCCACAAAATCGGCTGTCGTTGGCTGGGTGCGTTTGTCTGATCTAAATCCAATCTGAACCTGAATTCTAGAACGATATAACGGTTTTCTAGCTAATCATTGATCAATTTCTATAGTGTCAGTTCACAACACGTCATCTCAGGTCACTTTCCAGTTCAACCAGAGTCAGATTGATTCTAAGTTTTCTATCTAAGGAAAACCAGCTGATTGCATCGACGAGGTGAGAACATTATACTTTAAACTTCACTATATGGCCCATTTACTAATTTAGTGAGTAATTTAAAAAAAAAACATTCCGAAGTTTAGAGGACAACGGCAACCAGCAGACCTTCGAGGCTAACGGCAGCCAGGGTTAACTTTAGCC